CGGGGGGGGCCTGCGTTGGGGGCAGGGGGGGGCGGGGGGGGGGAATGCAGGGGGCTCTGCACTGAAGGGGTGGCATGGGGAGAGGTCCGGGGCTCTCCATTGTCTAGCTGTGGTGCGGGGCAGTACACCAAGTAATGGGAGCCTCGGGGTGGCTGGGCTCTCCTCCTGCAAACCACTGGTGTCCCCCGCTGCCCTGGGGCTCTGCTTCCAGTATTGCCCCACCCTGACCTGAAGCCATGCCCCATCTCTCAGCCAGCCTGGGCCCAGACCTGAGACTCCCTCAGCCCATCCCCTCCCATCTGGACCCCCTTTGTAAGGGCTGGGGCCCCTATGACTCCTCTGCTCCCCCCCCAAGTTCTTGAGCCCCTCTGACTCCCCACCCCCAGGCACAGCACTGGGCCCCATGGACCGCCGCGAGACCTGGGACCGCTTCTACGCCCAGCAGGACGGTGCCACCACCCACTTTGACTGGTTCTTCAGCTATGAGGTTGTCTCTGGCATCCTGCTCTGGGCCCTGGAGACCCCCAGCCCTGCCCTGGCGCCCACCCGGGTGCTGGATGTCGGCTGCGGCACCTCGGACCTGGGCCTGGGGCTTTACCGGGACTGCCCGCGTCCTGTGCACGTTTGCTGCGTGGACACGTCCCCTGTGGCCATCAGGGCCCTGCGGCAGCTGCTGCGCACGGCGCCCCCACCCCAACGCGCCCTGTCCCGGCTGCGCCTGGGCATAGCTGACGGCACGGCGCTGGGGGCCACGCGGGGCGGCCGGGCTGGATCCGTCTTCCACCTGGTGCTGGACAAGGGCACGTGTGATGCCCTCCTGCGTTGCCCACGGGGGCCGGGCCGGGCAGAGCGGCTGGTGCGCGAGTGCCTGCGCGTGTTGCGGCCCGGCGGCTGCCTGCTGCAGTTCTCCGACGAGGACCCGGACGCCAGGATCCCTTTCTTGGAGCGGGCCGGGGGCGCCGGTTCAGTGGCGGTGCAGGAAGTCAGGGGCCACTACTACGCCTACGCGCTCCGCAAACCGGGCTCAGAGGGGCCAGCCGCGGAGGCCCCTCGGGTGCAGCCTGGGGCTGAGGGAGGGGTTGCCGGGTCGGCTGGACCTCAATGGAGCTGTTAATAAAGCAACTACCCCAAGCACAGCGGTGTGGTCACCCCACAGCCCCTTCTTCCCTGGCGTGGCCCCCTCACTGGCCCTCTGCCCTGGCCGGAGTCTGGGGGCTGCCCCTGGGTGGTCCTGCATCGCGGGGCTGGAGCAGGGCTGTTCCCTTTGGGGGGCTCTGGCTGCAGGGGCTGGAGGCACGGGGGTCC